AGAAAAACCACCACCGCCAATTTGGAATTGATTGTTTGCGACAAAAGTCTGCATTGGTATTTCAATCTATGGACGGAACAAAGACTTTTAAGCCTTCTGCATGATAAATGGAGGCTAGAAGTCAATAAAAATTTGCCCTTAACTACAGGACAGTTAATAGAATATATATGGTTTAGAGACTACATAAAAGTACAATAGAACTCATTAACTATGTCGGGGAACATTTATGCAAAAAATTGTTCCTTATTCGTAACGTGTCTATTGTATTTTGAACAAATAAACCAATAGTAAGGTCCTAATTAACATACTGTTCAAGTCACGGTTAAGGAGCTAAGCCAAGCTATTGCTATTGGTTAGTTGGGCAAAAATACAATAGACATGTGACGGATAAAGAACCATTCTCTGCATAAACCTGGACAATGACGTAGATAATGAGTTGTATTGTACTTCCATCTAGTCTCCAAACCATGTATATTCTAATAACTGTGACTACAGTTAGAAGTTAACTAGTCTTTTATACAACTGGCCCCTCGTCGTAAAATCGATTGGAAAATTCGGAAGACAAACGCCTGTATTTTAAAAGCTCAATCACACTCATACTCAATGAGTGCGCCTCAATATCCGTAAGTGTAACTCAGTACTCAATGAGTATTCATTCAATCTCAACGAGTGGGAAGGTACACTTGCACTCCAAACATTCACTAACAGCACTCACTCCCGAAATAGAGGTCGAATGTGAGTGGAGTTTCAGGGTGGGACATACCTTCCTTGAACCCCACTCACATGAAGTAGTGGTAAGCAACATGGCGAATATATGGTTTGAAAGATTACAGCAATTAGATTATTTGGCACGCAATAACAGCAGGGAGATTAGAAATTACCATTTCAACTACGCGATGTATGACGAGGAGCAATTTAGAAGCAGATTTAGATTAACCAAGGATGGTTTTCGGGAGCTGTTAAACATTATAGAGCCAGATATATCTGCTCATAGCGAACGAGGTAATCCAATTCCTGTAGAAATTAAGTAGTAGATATTATGCAACTGGCACGTTTCAGGAAGCATGTGGAGACCTGTGTGATATATCTCAACCGTCTGCAAGTCGTATTATAAAGCGCGTATCTGAGGCCATTGCTAGACTAAAAATTCATCACACCAAATTTCCGACTGCTGATATGCTACCTCAAGTTAAACTCGATTTCTGGAGGATATGCGGATTCCCTAATGTTATTGGGACGATTGATTGTACGCATATAAAAATTCAATCACCAGGAGGTGAAAACGCAGAATTGTTTAGAAATCGGAAGGTTTTTTTTTTCACTGAATGTTCAAGCAGTTTGTGGCCCAAATCTAAAGATACAAAACATTGTTTTAAGGTGGCCGGGCAGCGTGCACGACTCACGAATATTTGATAACAGTCGTTTGTGTGCACAGTTTGAGCGCGGTGACATCCAAGGCATGCTTCTCGGTGATAATGGCTATCCTTGTCGACCATATTTGATGACACCTCTACTGGACCCACAGACTCCCCCCGAACGTAGATACAATGTATCCCATATTCGGACAAGAAATACAGTGGAGAGGATGTTCGGGGTTTGGAAAAGGTTATTTCCCTGTCTATCTATGTCCATTAGAACAAAACTTTCCACTACTCTTACAATAATTGTGGCAACAGCAGTCCTGTTCAATTTCATCAGAGGAAGAAATGATCCTATGGATGAAGCAAACCTGCATGGAAGACCCTAATGAAAATCCTTTACCAGTTATGAATGATCAGGCCCCAGCTCTCGGGAATACAACACGGCGTGCTCTCATAATTCAGCACTTTACATGAATTATGATTTAGTAACAGTCATTCATTTTATTATTACATTGAATACAACCTGTATGTCTGTGTTACAGTATAAATAAGCAACATTAAACCTACTCAACTAGTCATGATTTAGACAAAATTAAATGTCCAGCATGATTAACACAAAAATCATAGGTTTTTCATTATATATGGAACAAAAAATTGACTTATTAAAAGAAAAGCTAGTAGCTAACTATTGTGTGTCAATCGCTTATTTCAAACAGAAATGAACTATGTTCATTTGTGTACCAGCCTGATAATTTCGTCTTGCTTTAAAAATTTAAAAAAAAATTATTATCATTATTCCTAACTCTCTTTAGGAATTGATTGTTTTGACAGTCAATGAACACAAACATATTTCCATAGCGTGACAAAATCTGTAGTATTTGTCGCATTTATTGGAATTTATTATCGTCACAAGAGGGATTAGCAATGTCAATTCACTCTCAACGTAATTATTATGTTAAACATTTATATAATTATTCACACTTGCAAATAAGCTTCATGGCACAAATATCGTGAAAACAATGGTTTTACTTCCTTCGCCGTGTAATACGCTTCGACGGCTCGTCTTCAGTATTAGCCTTTCTTTTTTTGTTAAACGTCCAATATTGTAACTCCGCTTCAAGGACCTCCATCTTTTTCTGGTGTTCCTCTACGAGGTTATTCTTCTTAAGTTGAAGAATTTCCATCTCAATTGTATGTTGTCGTTCCTGCATATCCAAACATTTTGTTTGGGCAAATTCTCCAATAATCTTTCATGTTTGTGGTTGGGATTCATTAGTATTAGTTATGCTTTCGTCTTCTAGGGATTCCTGGTCCTCTTCATTTTCAACGACATCTAGGTTATTTATAGAAGAGAACTGAAATAGGTTTCTCGTTTTATAATGTATTGGTGAACTCAGTTTTAGAAGCTGACTATAGTTTCATGTTTGGTTGTCATGTTATAGCGTCAGGTCATATTATTGATGCGGATTTTATTACCGGCACTGATTTTAAAATAAAGAAATCACAGTCTGTTCTAAATACTACATACAATAATGAGTTGTGGGCAAGTAGGCGTATATGGAAAGTAGGCAATACTATGCCCACGCTATACTATGCATGCATGCTATTTGGTGATTACATGCATGCTATTTGGTGTGTCGTTTTTACATAGAAAATTGATGAACAGCATCAACCTGCAGAACTTTTCCATTATACATAGTCGACAACACTTTACAGTACACTATATTTACTCTGTAACGATACCCTTACCAGGTTCATAATTGTCGTCGTCAAATGGATTATCCAGGCTAGCCATTTGCGATGGGATTATTGCAACAACAGCTTCTGCATCTTGATCTTTCTCCGCCGACGCCATACCACCACCAGTCAGTTGAGCTTCTCTCTTCTCCTTTGCGATATTTTTTTCGCCCGATATTTTTCCCAGCATTTCTTTATTTGTTTTGCTTCATGCTTGTTGACACCCGCCTGGCAGTTAAACTCTTCTGTCAGTGTTTCCCAAGCTTTAGTTTTTTGTTGAATGCTTTTGTAATCGTTCCGTTTGCTTTCGATGACATTCTTTTGTTTTGCAACTTATTCGGTTATAAGCGAATTCTCCAGTTCTGAAAAATACTGCCTTGTTTGGGACATTTTAACCAACTTGTATGCTTTATTATTCTCTTCAAATAGACGTCTTTCGTCGTACTCATTATCAATGCCGAGTGCAACTTACTGCGTAAAGTAAGCTACACTTTACTGCGTTCGATAACAAAGGTGAGTGCGACTCAGGTAAGTTACACTTGAGTGATCTCGGTGAATACAAATTAACCCGAATTTGGTGGGTACCTAACTGAGTACCACAGATCACTCAAACTCCACTCATACTCACACTTCAACCCTTTTTGAGTCCACCTCACTGGAATGCGACTCAAGTGTGAGTGTGAGTGAGCTTTTAGAATAGAGGCCAAAAATTTTTTGCTTAAAATTTGCCTCAGCAACCCCCCCCCCCCTCCCAATTAAAAGGGGCCCCTCACGCTATTGGGGTTGTGACCTACTCAATGTAACATCTTTATACTAATGTACTAATTAATATATACATATATATATATATATATATATATATATATATATATATATATATATATATATATATATATATATATATATATATATATATTTATATATATATATATATACTGGCGGTCAAAAAGAACTGCTCAAAACAAGTTAAAATGCTCTCAAATGAACATAACTGTCCCACTAACAATATATACGAGTAAATATAGACTAAATTACATGCTAAGCTGTATGAAATATTAATATTTTGTTGACCTTCCTTTGGCCTTGTTATTGATGACGGCCTTACACCGGCTTAGCAAACTTTCTGTTAAGGTGGTAATCTTAGCGGTCATAGGAAATTCATTCTATGGACAGTCTTTACAGCAACGCATAAATCATGGACCATTTATGAATGAATTCCGTTCTTGCACTATCCCCTTGACATTGTCTCACAGATTTTCAACAGGGTTAAGGTCTTTTGACTGTGCAGGCCAATCCATTTCTGGGACCCCTTCTTCCTGAAACCATTGTTTGACTATATCTTGGAAGTGTGGCAGGTTGCATTACATTATTAAAATATTGTCAATTCACTCTCACGTTTGGAATAAGAGAATTAAACAAAATGCTTATAAAGCTCTCTCCTATATTCGCTTCTTTTTTATTTAATTGTATCTAAACAGTTCTTTTTGACCGCTAGTGTACAATAAAAGATAGATTGTCACGATTCCTGTTACATACGATAATAGCAACATTTGAGCAGTTCTTTTTGATATATGCATGCATGGTTTGGTGCGCATCTCAATTGTTAATCTTAGTTTTGGTAAACTGGACCCGTATATCGCGCGAGTTCTGTAGTCGCGGTTTCGTAGGCAGTTGATTATGTTACCGATTAGCTACAGAAACCAAATGCGCTTCATCGAGCTGCGATGTCATTTGTTCGTAAACTTCCCCATAGCTTTAGGTTATTTTGCAAAACTTTATAATCTTAACTTAACTTTTTTAAACTTTATAAAACTTAATACAATCTCAGATATGTTTAAAATATTACCTCTTCTAACTGGTTGCAGTTCGTTGTTTTCAACTTCTGAATTTTCTCACGATGTTTTACGGACCTTTTAAAGATAGTTGCAATTTCATCACGCCCAAGGTGAATGCTCCATTCAAGAAGATTCATTCCTCGCCCTTTAACAATAATCGTTTGCTCTCTCCACATAGCGATATCCTTCTCATAAAGAAGATTGACCAAGGCGACGAAGTTGTTTCTAACAGCCATTTGAAGGATGACAATGCCAACAGAAAAGAGGTATTCACCTCTAACAGTTATATCAGCACCCTGTTCAACTAAATACTTGACAGTTCCTAAATCACCAACACGAACAGCATGTTGCAAGACTGTCCCTCCGTTGGTATTATTGGCATTTACATCAGCACCGTTCTCGACAAGATATTCCACCATTTCTAGCGTACCTTCAGAAACAGCAGAGTGCAGCACTGTCTCCCCAAGAGTATTCTTAGCATTTACATCAGCACCCTTCTTAACAAGATATTCTACCATTTCTAGCGAACCTTTTACAGCAGCACTTTGCAGGACTGTGCATCCACTATTCTTTTTTACATTTACATCAGCGCCATTTCTCACAAGATATTTCACCATTTCCAGCCTACCTTTAGAAACAGCAGCGTGAAGCACTGTCTCCCCGTGAGTATTCTTAGCATTTACATTAGCGCCTATTTCAACAAGATATTTTACCATTTCCAGCGTACCTTTTGTAACAGCATCATGCAGCACTGTCCAACCATCGGTCTTTTTGCCATTTACATCTGCCCCCAGTTCAATAAGATGTTTTACCATATCTAATGAACTATGGGAAACAGCATAGTGCAGTACTGTCCAGCCGTCCTTGCCCCTTACAACAGCGCCATTTTCAACTAGATATTTTACAACTTCTGTTGTAGATTTTGTAACAGCAGCGTGCAGCACTGTCCACCCGACAGTACCCTGGCCATTTACATCCGCGCCCTTCTCAACAAGATATTTTACCATTTCTAACGTACTTTCACTAACAGCCGAGTGCAGGACTGTCTTCCCGTCATTACTCTGGGCATTTACGTCAGCACCCTTCTCAACAAGATAGTAAGCTATTTCTAGCTCACCTATTATTACAGCACTGTGCAGCATTGTCTCCCCGTTAGTATTGATGCTATTTACATCAGCACCTTGGTCAACGAGATATTGAACAACGTCTAATTTACCAACTGCAATAGCACAATGCAAAACTCTCCACCCGTCAGCATCTGTTCCATTTACATCAGCGCCATTTTGAACAAGGTATTTTACCATCTCTAGCCACTCCTTATTAACAGCAATCTCCAGTACTGTCCGTCCGTTAGTATCCTTACGATTTACATCAGCACCATTTTTAACCAGGTATTTTACCATCTCTGGCCACTCCTTATTAACAGCATTGTGCAGGACTGTCCATTCGCTATTATTTTTTCCATTTACATCAGCGGCATATCCCACAAGATATTTCACAATTTCTAGCGTACATTCAGAAATACCAGAGTGCAGCACTGTCTCCCAGTGAGCATTCTTGCCATTTACATCAGCGCCCTTCCCAACAAGATATTTTACCATTTCTAGCGAACCTTTTCCAACCGCACTGTGCAAGACTGTCCATTCGCTATCATTTTTTCCACTTAAATCAGCGCCATATCCCACAAGATATTTCACAATTTCTAGCGTACCTTCAGAAATAGCATAATGCAGCACTGTCTCCCCGTGAGTATTCTTGGCATTTACATCAGCGCCCTTCTCAACAAGATATTTTACCATTTCTAACGTACCTTTAGTAGCAGCAGTGTGCAGGACTGTCCATCCGTGACTCTTTTTTCCATTTACATCAGCGCCCTTTTCCACAAGATATTTCACAATTTCTAGCGTACCTTCAGAAATAGCATAGTGCAGCACTGTCTCCCCGTGAGTATTCTTAGCATTTACATCAGCGCCCTTCTCAACAAGATATTTTACCATTTCCAGCGTACCTTTAGTAGCAGCAGTGTGCAGGACTGTCCACCCGTGACTCTTTTTTCCATTTACATCAGCGCCCTTTTCCACAAGATATTTCACCATTTTCAGCGTACCTTCAGAAACAGAAGAGTTCAGCACTGTCTCCCCGTGAGTATTCTTGGCATTTACATCAGCGCCTTTCTCAACAAGATATTTCATTATATCTAGCCTACCTTTAAAAAAAGCAGTGTGCAGCACTGTTTCCCCGTTAGTCTTCTTACAATTTACATCAGCGCCCTTCTCAACAAGACTTTCCACCATTTCTTGCGAACCTTTTACAACAGCACTGTGCAGCGCTGTCTCCCCGTGAGTATTCTTGGCATTTACATCAACGCCCGTTTTAACAAGATATTTAACCATTTCTAGCGAACCTTTTCCAACAGCACTGTGCAGGACTGTCCATCCGCTATTCCTTGTTACATTTACATCAGCGCCATTTCCCACAAGATATTTAACCATTTCTAGAGTACCTTCAGAAATAGCAGAGTGCAGCACTGTCTCCCCGTGAGTATTCGTCGCATTTACATCAACGCCTGTCTTAACAAGATATTCCACCATTTCTAGCGAACCTTCTACCACAGCACTTTGCAACACTGTCCAACCCCCGTTCCCTCCTACATTTACTTCGGCGCTATTTCCGACAAGATATTTCACTATTTCTAGCGTACCTTCAGAAACAGCAGAGTGCAGCACTGTCTCCCCGTGAGTATTCTTGGCATTTACATCAGCGCCCTTCTCAACAAGATATTTCACCATTTCTAGCGAACCTTTTACAACAGCACTGTGCAACACTGTCCATCCGCTGTTCTTTTTTCCATTTACATCAGCGCCATTTCCCACAAGATATTTCACCGTTTCTAGAGTACCTTCAGAAATAGCAGAGTGCAGCACTGTCTCCCCGTGAGTATTCTTGGCATTTACATCAACGCCTTTTTTAACAAGATATTCTACTATTTCCAGCGAACCTTTATAAACAGCACTGTGCAAGACTGTCCATCCGCTATTCTTTTTTCCATTTACATCAGCACCATTTCCCACAAGATATTTCAGAATTTCTAGCGTACCTTCAGAAATAGCAGAGTGCAGCACTGTCTCCCCGTGACTATTCGTGGCATTTACATCAGCGCCCTTCTCAACAAGATATTTTACCATTTCTAGCGTACCTTCAGTAGCAGCAGTGTGCAGCACTGTCCATCCGTGACTCTTTTTTCCATTTACATCAGCGCCATTTCCCACAAGATATTTCACCATTTTAAGCGTACCTTCAGAAACAGCAGAGTTGAGCACTGTCTCCCCGTCATTATCCTTGGCATTTACATCAGCGCCCTTCTCAAGAAGATATTTTACCATTTCTAAGGTACCTTCAGTAACAGCAGAGTGCAGCACTGTCTCCCCGTGAGTATTCCTGGCATTTACATCAGCGCCATTTTTGACAAAATATTCTACCATTTCTAACGAACCTTTTCTAATGGCACTGCGAAACACTGTCCATCCGCTATTCTTTTTTCCATGTACATCAGCGCCATTTCCCGCAAGATATTTCACCATTTCTAGCGAACCTTCAGCAACAGCACAGTGCAGCACTGTCTCCCCGTGAGTATCCTTGGCATTTACATCAGCGCCCTTCTCAACAAGATATTCTAACATTTCTAGCGTACCTTTAGTAGCAGCACTGTGCAACACTGTCCACCCCCCGTTCTTTTTTACATTTACATCAGCGCCATTTTCCACAAGATATTTAACCATTTTTAGCGTACCCTCAGAAACAGCAGAGTGCAGGGCTGTCTCCCCGTGAGTATTCTTGGCATTTACATTAGCGCCCTTCTCAACAAGATATTCCACCATTTCTAGCAAACCTTCTGCCACAGCACTGTGCAACACTGTCCAACCCCCGTTCTTTTTTACATTTACGTCAGCGCCATTTCCCACAAGATATTTCACTATTTCTAGCGTACCCTCAGAAACAGCAGAGTGCAGCACTGTCTCCTCGTGAGTATTCTTTGCATTTCCATTAGCGCCCTTCTCAACAAGATATTCGACCATTTTTAGCGAACCTTTTACAACTGCACTGTGCAGCACTGTCCATCCGCTATTCTTTTTTCCATTTACATCAGCGCCATTTCCCACAAGATATTTCACTATTTCTAACGTACCCTCAGAAACAGCATAGTGCAGCACTGTCTCACCGTGACTATTCTTGGCATTTACATCAACGCCCTTCTTAACAAGATATTCTACAATTTCTAGCAAGCTATTTCCAACAGCACTGTGTAGGACTGTCCATCCGCTATTCTTTTTTCCATTTACATCAGCACCATTTCCGACAAGATATTTCACTATTTCTAACGTACCCTCGGAAACAGCAGAGTGCAGCACTGTCTCCCCGTGAGTATTCTTGGCATTTACATCAGCGCTCTTCTCAACAAGATATTCCACCATTTCTAGTGAACCTTTTACAACAGCACTGTGCAGGACTGTCCATCCGCTATTTCTTTTTACATTTACATCAGCGCCATTTCCCACAAGATATTTAACAATTTCTAGCGTACCTTCAGAAACAGCAGAGTGCAGCACAGTCTCCCCGTGAGTATTTTTGGCATTTACATCAGCGCCCTTCTCAACAAGATAATCTACCATTTGTAGCGAACCTGTATAAACAGCACTGTGCAGGGCTGTCCATCCATTACTTTTTTTTACATTTACATCAGCGCCATTTCCTACAAGATATTTAACCATTTCTAGCGTACCTTTAGTAGCAGCACTATGCAACACTGTCCATCCGCTATTCTTTTTTCCATTTACATCAGCACCGTTTCCCACAAGATATTTCACCATTTCCAGCGTGCCTTCAGAAACAGCAGAGTTCAGCACAGTCTCCCCGTGAGTATTCTTGGCATTTACATCAGCGCCCTTCTCAACAAGATAATTTACAACTTCTGGAGTAGATTTTGTAACAGCAGCGTGCAGCACTGTCCACCCGTCAGTACTTTGGCCATTTACATCAGCGCCCTGTTCAACAAGATATTTCACCAATTCCAGTGCACCTTCTGCATTAGCAAGTTGTAGCATTGTCCCGCCGTCTGGATTCCTAGCATTCATGTCTGCACCACATTGTTTAACTAAGTACTTGACAATTTCTGTGCCACTAACATAAACAGCATGATGTAAGGCAGTATTTCCCAAATCATCTTTACAATGTATATCAGCCCCACAAACGTCAACGAAATATTTCACCATTTCTAATGATCGAGACTGTATTGCACCCTGAAGAACTTTGGAATCATTTTGAAAATTATGTTCAGGACCATATTGAACAAAATACTTAACAAGATCAAATAAACAATTTCTCGTCGCTATCGACAAAACTGTTTCACCTTTTTCGCTCTGGGAATAAATGTCCGCTCCATTGTCAACTAAATATTTAACAATATTTTGATCTACTGGACTAAACTGAATAGCGCGCCAAAGAATTGTCTTCTTCCAACGATTTTCTTTGTTTTCACCGCATTTAACTTGCTTTTTTATTTCGTCCAAAAATTTATTTTTTTCTGCTTCACAGAGATTTATACTTCCACTTGTCTCTTTCTTCTTCTCAATACCTATAAATATGAAACATTAAGATGCAATTTACATGAAAAAGAAAGATGAAAAATAAATAACCGGGCCGTGCCCAACGAAATTTCATTGCGGGTGAGACTCCAACAATTTATCGGCTCGCATTACGCAGGCATGAGTGATTTCTGGAAGAGGTGAAATTATACAATAATCGAGAGAAAACGGCTGTAAACCGTGATAACTATAACTTAATTTGTCTTCCGAACAAGGCCTAAAATCCGTTCACGTCAGGGATTTATTTCGGGGAGGCAAGCACCTCCAAGAAGTCTTAAATATTAGAGGTGCATGATAAATACATATTTTCAACACATGCATAGGGGACTTTGGCGAAATGTGCCGTATAATTATTTAGTAGAATCATATTAGCATACTATTGCAAATGCTGAAATTTGATTGGCTACTCTACTCGCTATCTAATTGTTGATAGATAGCGAGTAGCGAAACAGTCGCATTTCTGGCGTATTCTTTTAGAAAAATGGCCTCCGGCTCGCGGTTTTCTGAGGTTTCTGAGGATGAACTTGATTGAGGATGAACTGATTATACTAAAACAATTAGATTACTTGCTCTCAATTTCGATGAGGTGATAGTTGATTCGGGCTTCGCCCTCATCAACTATCACCTCATAGAAATCTCGAGCTCGTAATCTAATTGTTAAAAAGTTTTTCCTTGAGCACGAGCTACATTGTATCAGGTGACTAGAAATACATGCATGCAGCAACCCCTCGCCATTTCAAACGAAGCAAAATATTTCCTGAGCTAGCCAGACCTAACCTTCAATATTATGAAATGTCCTAAATGTAAAGCCGATAGCTGATGTTTCAAATTTTTCAGAAACAAACACAGTCGTAAAGGTGAAGTGAAATCACCCGTTTTCCTGCTGCTTTCCGTTGCATTAAGTTATACGCCTGTATTCTAAAAGCTCACTCACACTCACACTTAACGAGTGGACGCTTATGCTCAATGAGTGAAACTTACAGCTCAATGAGATCCCCCTCGAACTCGTTGAGTTGATTGTTACACTCACACTTCAGTCATTCAAAGACGTTACTCACCCTCCAATGAGGCCTAAAAGTGGAGTGAAGTGTGAGTGAAATGTATACCTCCCTTGACCTGCCCTCACGAGTGTGTATGTCATAAAAACATGGCCGGCAGATGGCAAAAAAGACTGAATGCCGTCGATAATATTATATTCAATAACAGAAATAAACGGAAGACATATACGTCCAATATAGACACGTATGACGATGAACAATTTAGGAGGAGATATAGGTTAACAAAGGATGCTTTTCAGGAGTTGCTGCGAATTATTCGACCACATATGACATATACGTGCACATAACGACAGGGGAAGACCTATTCCCGCTGATAGTCAACTGCTGATAACTCTCCGATTTTATGCGACTGGTACGTTCCAGTTAGCATGTGCGGACTTATGTGAAATATCCCAGCCATCAGCAAGTCGCATTATAAAACGCGTGTCGAAAGCTATTGCTCGTCTAAAGAATAATATAACATTCCCTAATGAGAATATGCTAGCAAAGCAAGCTTAATTTCTGGCGTTTAACATCATTCATTTCAATAATTATTGTTTGTGCATCCTAGCACGGGTTAATGGTCTCTGCTGTTCTTCTTCGTTAGGTTTCACGCGTTTTCTCATCGAATTCCAATACTCCAGTTCAGCGTCCAGCACTTCAAGCTTTCTTGTGTGTTCAGTGATCAACTCGGTTTTTTTAATAACCAACAATTCCACCTCCGCCTCATGTTGTTGTTCTTGCATGCTCAAACAACGCTCTTGAGCCGCAGATATTGGTTTCTTTGTGGTCGTTGGTAACGACAAGGCAGCTTCTACAACAGTTGACGGTTCTTGATGCGGAGTAACTGTACTGTTGTACTAGACTGAGCCTCGCCATTTTCGGTTTCAATTAAATGAATGAGAAATGAAACATGCCCAATACCATAATCTTTCTACTATAGCATATACTCTTACCAGATTCGTAGTTATCGTCATCCGAAAAGGGTTTTCTAGGCCGTCTATTTAAACAGGGATTTTTGAAGCAATAGCCGATGATTGTTCGTCTGCAGATGATGTGGATTATTGGATACACCACCACCAGTTAATTTAGCAGCCCGTTTTTCTCTAGCAAGAACCTTTTTGGCACGCTTCTTCAAATTTTCCCAACATTTCTTAAGTTGTTTCGCATCCCGCTTAGTCACACCTGACTGCGAATTAAATTCTTGCGATAACGTTTCCCACAACGCGTTTTTCTGGGATATTGTCCTAAAATCATTTCTTTTACTTTCCAGGACGTCTTTGTGTTTTGCAACTAACTCTGTAAGAAGTGACTTTTCTAGTTGTTAAAAATACTGCCTGCCTTGGGACATCTCACTGCACGTTGTCTTTAGACTTCACAGCCGAGAAAATCAAACTCGTACATACATGATTGTTTACTGAACTGCACTCCAGTTAGTCACACTTGAGTAAGCTTTTTGAATGCAATTTGACCAGTTTGCTTGACAAATGAGTAAGCCCTTTCCAAGTGCAAAGTTATACTCACACTCCACTTATTCTCACACTTCAATCACACTTGGAAGCAGCTCACTCGAGTTTAACTTGAGTGTGAGTGTGAGTGAGCTTTTAGAATACAGCCGATAGACTTTCACAGTTTAAGTGAGAGTTAATACTTCACTATAACTAAACCTTCAAAACATCAAGATAGCACAAATAATATAAATAACTAAGCAGTGAACGTCGAATGTTGTTTTTCGATTATTAAATTCATGCAGTGATTGCAGTCGACTCTATAAGTGATACTTGTTATATTAAAACTCCGAATTACACTTTTAAGAACTCTTTTTGAAGTTAAAACGATGATGTAAAGCCTTAAATAGTCGGTCACGTCTTCGCAAAACCGAGCAAAACGACATACTGTACATACCAAGGTCATAAAATGTATTCGTACAGCAAACACAAAATAAACCTCGAAATAAACAAAATAGACTCCTACCATTTCAAGGATTATAAACGAGTTGTTCCTTTTCACCGCAAATTCTTCCAGTTCTGATAATATTTTAAACTCTTCCAAGTGTTTTATCTGTTATTTGATTCCACATTTCATATTGTGTTTTCGAAACATTTTATGCATTTTTTAAAAAAATAGTTTGCAAAATGACAGTCAAATTGCTGACGTTTTTCACTGAAACACAAACGCTTCGTCTTAGCCAATCAGCAAGTTGCTAATTACCAGTCGTCACTCGTTCAAATTTTGCCCGTGCGCACAAGTACCATGACCATTGAACGTCCATGGTCCAAATTTAGGCGACTTTGGATTCCGCTATGTTCTCCCGGGTCCCGGGTGTAATTCCTTATCTCCGGGTGGAATTAGTACCCTCGCACGGTGCTCCGCACCGGCTCGAGGATAAGAAAGTTAAAAATGTGTTAACGGGTTATAGGGTAGAAATTAAAATTATTGAATAGGCTGAATGGTTCCCATGGGATATTTATTATCTTACTCATTTATATTAATTTTAGTATCGCCTTTGCCAATAGCGAACGCAATTGCCTAGGCCAATTATTGCGGGACCTTGATGGTTGGGGCCGTATAGCCAGAAGCTTAATTATGGGGGTGTATATTCATATATTATATGTGTATAGAGATTTATGCACAGCAGAATGATGAAATGAAAATCGTATTTCACTGTGTAAATAAATTTCATGCAATTTGATTGGACGTACGATGTTTTTCACGTGTGAAAAAATGCCTTACACGGCTTTGATTGGACGTACGATATTCTTCACACGTGAAAAATTGTCGTATGTCATTTTGGCGGTAATTTGTTTAAATTTTCTT